GAGATGATCAGAAACAATCTAGCTCCACTCTTCCTTCAGATCCAAAAAAATAACAGATGTTTGTCCATCCTTCCACTGTGAGAAGACAACTCAACACTATGAGTCTGAAAGGATGTGTAGCTGTCAAGAAGCCATCACTGAGAGAAGGAAACAGACAATTTGCAAATCAAACACAGGAGCTTCTGGTGATCTCAGAACAATGGACTGACCACCCCAGAGTCCAGACTTCAGCATCACTGAATGTGTAGGATTACTTACTGTGAGAAGCAGAAAATGCAACCAACTTCTAAGACTGAACTTTAGACGTGTGGAAAAATAACCCAACAGATTTCTTCGAAAAAACTGAAAGCAAGTGCCCCAAAAAGAAAAGAAACTGAGATAAAGGTGGACACACTATTATACTGAAAAATTTAACATTATGCATTTTGCAAACCTTTCTGTTAAATATTTTTTGTTTTTATTTGTTTTTTTTTGTTTACTGTTTGACTGATACTGAAAAATGAATTACTTACTTAAAGTGAATGTAAATTACGTAAATTAACATTACTCTCTGACTTTTGTACAGAACTGTACAATCATGAGGTCGTTCATGAAATTACTTATAAGGCCAGACTTTCACGTGAGCTGTCTTTCGATGTAATTAGGACAGATATATACATGATAGGTCAAGAAGTCCAAAATTGTTTTCAAACATTGCTTTAAGTGAGTAGAGAGAGAAAGAAAGACACTGGGGGGTACGAGTGGGATATGAACTCAAATTTATATCACAGAGATTTTCTACGATTCAGACGATAATGATGCGACATTATGATATAAGAAAAGTTCAAAAAATATAATATTAACAGTAATAACTAACAAAACAGTACAAAAAAATAATTATTATTACTGATAGTACTATCATTGTTGCTATTATTGCCATTATTATTATTATTATTATTATTATTATTATTATTGCAGCAACTTCAGCGACTAAAAAGTATTTTTCATTGTGTAAATACTACCACCACTCTAGAAGCTTATTCAATATAGAAGCAGTTTCAGTGGTTCTCTCCCACAGCCTCTCCTTGTTTGAAGAGGTAAAAGCACATCCTCAATTCCATTTCGCACCTTGTATTTGGTGTCTAAAATAATAATTCACTATTTGCTATATCAAACAAAGACAGTTCACTATTCCAAGCTTGTTACTCCATGCCCACTGGATGAGTTTTACCAGCTGATTCATTCTTCTTGGTCATGCCTAACAGTTTTCTGGTCCACCAGGCTTGAAACAATTGCCCAATCACAGGTCAGACCATTGTCCAGGGAAAACAAATGTACAATGCTCTTTAAAAAATTCTGTTTTAATTAACCGAAGTGACAGATTTGACTGTTTATTTGTTTGATGAAAGTATATCTGTTGAACTTTCTTACAGCTCCGCTCAGAAGCACAAGTGCTGTATGTGTGCATGTCCAGCATGTACGAGCTGTAGTAGTTTGAAACCGACCCAAATGTTTGCCAACTTGAATGTCTGAACACAATATCTTTATTAAAACTGTGGCATATTTAGAAAGTAGTCCAAACAAAGACATTCTGCACTAGCCGGATTTGTCGATTTCTCAAATTTGTCTGAGTGATGAGAAAAATCTGCATTGTCCAACAGAGTGAAACAAAAGAAAAATATGTGAACACCGCGCAGCATGACTGGCAAAGCTTGACTGTGTTAATGATGCTTTATGCACGTGGCAAGTGCCCAACAATACACTTGGTTTGTGCGCGCACCTGCGTAAACCTACACTAATCAACATAGGAGCAGCTGCAAGTGGTGTTTAGCAGTGCAGATTTGTCTAAAATACCATTCTGGTGAGTTAGTTAAGCTGTTCATTCTCATGTTTAGTTTGTCTCGGGAGCAGCGCTGTTTTGGTTCACTGTGTTTGGGCTTATCATGGTATCCACAGTATGGCAAAATTGATACCATGAGAGAACCTCATAGTGGTATTCCCCTTTATACTAGTATATACCGCCCACCCCTAACTAGGGGCGAGGTGACAAAGACAAAACACTGTTTGTGGTTTCTAATAAAGAATATGCCGGAATATTTCAAGCCTTCATTTTATCAGGCCAGTGCAGCGGAGGAACGGACAGCCCTCTCTGCATTTCTTTCACGTTGCTCTAAATGTGTCACTAAACACTAGCGCTGCATCAGTGCTCGCCATTAGATTGCTGAGGTTATTACAAAGGTGGGGTTATTAACACTGTGTCAAAACAGTCAATGCTATTTGCTTCGTTAAACGGCAGCAGTGCCCTCTGAATGGCAAACGGACACCAGTTAGGGGTCTGTCAGCGCAAGGCAGTGGCCGGTTGGAGTGTGGAAAGGTTAGCACATGGCATAAACATGCTGCCAAACAGCCTGCTCCAGCCTGGACGCCCTTGCCAACTCTCGTTCTACAACAGTATACAAGCAGGGGTGGACCCTCTCTAATAGAGCGCCATAGCTAATGAGATGAAACTATCCATTACAATGCTTTAACGAGGTTAAATCTGCATGGCTAGTAATTAGTCTACGCCCCCCTGCATTAGCTTTCCTCCTCAGAGACGCAGGGAGAACCTCCCTAGCCTAACGTTGCCAGAGGACATTACAGCAGCTGAATGCATTAAACTCCAGATGCTGTGAATTGTTGTCATTTAGTTTTTTTTTCCCTTCCCTTCACTGGGGAGCAGATTGATCTGGCACAGTCATGGTGGATAAGAGTAAGGCTTAATGACAGGCTGGGCAGCACATCGGCACTGTTGCTAAAGAGAAATGCTGTCCGCTAATTCTCGGTTGCTAAGCAGATCCGCATGCAGGAACCGTTCACGATGGTAATGGAGCAGGAGAGGACGTACGGGCAGCAGGCCGACTCGAGATTCTCTAAACAATTCTCATTATTCAAATGAACATCATTGAGGGCTTATCATCTTAGATGAATACTAACTGCCTATAAGCAAACTGTGTACTCTTCGACAGCTCGCAGAAACACATGGGCCCATAACAACAACAACAACAGCATTAAAAACAATTTGTTTTCCTACATCCTATATCTCACTTAGAGAGGGACTCTCTCGCACAGGCTAGCACCTTGAGGGTGTGGATATTCAGTTCAGTGAATACAGATGGAGTCCATGCTCTAAGAAAATGAGCGTTCTGAAATGGGCAGATTAGATTAGCGCTGGGAGGTTTTGATCTAAAGCACGCTGGCTGGCTTTGATCTGCACATCCAGCTCCTCACTGTGACTAGCGCACAATGGCCCATTTCACTTCCATTTGTGTCAGCTGTATGGGTGCGTGAGGAACAGAGCACGGATAAGGAGCGCCACTCGCCGTCGTTTGCATTCATTTAAGTCCTAATCACATTCACTTCAAGCCCTGGGCAGCTGCGAGGTTCCAGAGGCAAACAGCACCACCAAAAGTCCAAACATCTAAAAAGACTGAGTCTAAGAAGGGGCCATCAGCTGTAGAACTGGAAGAATGAGTGAGTGCAAACCCCTACACAGTGACAACCGGGGGAAAAGATGGGCTCATTAACACTGACAATTCTTCTCATCCAATTAACATCTCCAAAAGCACATGAAACGAAAGGTAGCATCTCTCATTCTCAGGAAAGTCCCTCTCCCCCTCTCTTCAACTTATCATAATATAATTAACGAGTTCAGCATTCCTCGACTAATATTTACATGGGTTTAAAGCAGGCTATCCACAGGGAAATGCAGACAGGTCAAGTCAACTCCCTGCCTGAGGACAATTTGTCTCTTCACTTCCCAAGTCACACAAAGCAAAGCTCACAGAGGTCAAACTGTCTGCAGGTCTGGGTAATGACAACACTGCTGCTGTTTACTTTACTGATCCCATAATCAATGACCTCCTGACTTTACCTTTTTTATGCACATTTTTCCTCATAGATTCATTTCCCTGTACAGAATCATATGCAGTTTTTTGAGAAGATTATCACATTTTCTGTTGTAAAAATGACTTAAATGATTTGAACAGTCTGTATCCGTACATATGTGCTGCTGGGGGCCCTGTATGATATACACCTAAAGGAGGTCAATGTACTGAACTGGTGGTTCTCAATCCTGCGGCTGGATTCATGAAAGATTTCCTAAGACTAAACTTACAATCTAAAGATGAACAGTAAGAAGTTAATAAGAATGCAATTCTTGTAAAAACTTAAGTTCTCAAACACTCTCTTCAGAAAGTCTTATTTTCTTAAGAAAATCTGAATTGTTTTCATATGTAGGCCTTAGCTTGTCACATAGAGCATCAATATCATGTTGCATACAGATTACTGGAAATTACATCATGTTTCCATTAACCGGTTATCAGTTCAATCATATCAGTGTCCGAAGACAGAAAAATGAAGGGAAAACGAAATCAAACCAAATGTTCGAAAAGAAATTTAGCAAACAAGAACTAGAAGTGATGGTGGAGGAAACAGCCAACAGGAAAAATCCTTCTTGGTTTATTTAACAATCATATTTTGTGAAACTCATTTGAAGTTATAGTTTAAGAGGTTTATCCTGTCAATTCTCACAGTCTAAGACTGCATATGGTTTTGATAGTTTAATTCATTTTTTCCCCACCAAGAATACCACTTGCTCTTATAACAGTTCTGAAGAGAAAAGTTAAAAGTTGTATTTAAATTTTTTCTTAAATACACAGTTAAGAAAAAGAGGCATATTTTCTTCATTATGACACTTTTGAGAATCAGACCCCTTTGTCCTGAAGTACTACTGCCCTGCAGGGTATAGCATGTTCCTTGCTCTAACACTGGAAGGACTTGTTTAATAGTTCATTAGTTGAATCAGGTCTGTTGGGAGCTGGGGAACTCTACAATGTGCAGGGCTGTCGGCCTCCAGGACCAGGACTGAGAACCACCACCACACTATATACAAAGTAGAACTGGGTTGACTCAAGTTTGTCATGTTTGGGGTTTGGGGATGATGTTAGAGCTGAGACTGATGATTATGCTGAAACTGTGTGTACCTGGAGGAAGATTAGATCTCTTCCTCTTCTTGTTGTTGTTCTCTGTGCCGTTCTCCAGAGGACACTCAGACACCAGAGGACCATTGGAGCTGTTGAACTGCAGCGGTTCGTTGTTGGTGGCGGGGTCAAAGGGCAGCGGATTCAGTCCTAGGAAAGACATAAAGAATAAACACACTGTTAGTGCACATGTTCCCTATTCACCCCCACAGTTTAACTAGCCAGCCCTCTGTAGACACCAACAGGGGAAGATAATAGTTTGGAAGCTTGTCTTTTTCTGTTTTGTCCTTAAATGAGGCTAAAGAGTGACACAGAGAGAGGACGCAGCCTGAATGAGTCTTTAAGTCACTCTTTAATGCTGCAGATTCATTTCAATGGCTGCATATTTCTCATCTCAAAAGGACAAAGACAGGATTATCCACACAAATGCTCCCATTAGTTATTAACCCCTGCCTCTTAATAGAATTCCATTATATAAACTGACTTCGGGCTCAGATTCTAAAACAGGAAAAGAGCACTACAGACAGCGATCAATAATCAGAAACCATACTTCTGTTCCTCCTCTGAGAAAAGAATGGATAAAAGCAATAACCTGTCTGATGAATTATGGATTCAATAACAACAATGCGAATACCGCCTCAAAACCAAGGAACAATGAACAAATAATTAACGTGAACGATTGGCCTAATAAATCAGTGCTGTGTTGTCATCTCATACAGTACATGTGAGGCGCTATTTATGATTCAGAGCGATGTCTGCAAGACACAGGACTGTTTTCATGAAATATTCATCACCACTCTTGGTTTACACTTGTTTTGCTTGGCTTTGTTTTTCTTAAGAAAACAGGAAGAATGGGGCCCAGGAATGTCACCTTATGTCCTGTAGGTTCACCCCCCCTGTTACTCTGCTTCAGGAAGAAAAAGCCTGATGCCTAGTTCATTGAACAAAAGTCTAAACTCTTCAGCCTAAAAGCCATAGTTCTACAAAAAAATCAATTTCTCGACTCTCCCCTTGCCCCAGTGTAGTCAATCAGCCAAGACATGTCTGGTGTCTGAAGCTTCTTTAGTTTTGCACTGGAGCTACAAGTGAAATATAGCTAACAAGTAATGGACGCTTATATCCCACCAGCTAGCATCAAGCAATCTGCATGCCAAAGTCGTCACAAATCTGCCCTGAACTGTGTTGAGTTGATAAATAATTGCAAACAGACTTGCACATGTTGTTTCTGACACAATATGACCTATTTGATGAGACGTTATCTATAAAAATAGACAAAAGTTTGGATAAAATTCCAGCCAAAAGACAGCTGCTACTATTTATTGCGTCAAATCAAAGTACTTTGAGTTGGCTCGATAGCACTTTTTCTGTTCTGATACCGATAGTAAAACCTTGAGTGCTGGCTATTACTGACACCAATCCAATCCAATCCATCCATCCATCCATACTCTGCATTTACTTTATTTCTGCATAACTACATATTTTTTCTAACTAATAGAAAAAAAAGCTACACAGGATAACTTCGCTAGTCAATACTGCATGAGTGCTTTACTGGCTCTTATAACTACCAAGCTAAACATTTTAAACCATTTTTCAGCCTGGCCATACAGTTCAAAGTTCCTAGTTGACAATGTATTAGACTAATAAAAAGTTAAGTTATCAGGGAAGGAGAATGCTTTACTTTGCTGTGTCTGGTTATTCTCTCCTTTGGGCTCTGTCTGGTCAGTTTCTGTTGGCCTGCTTGTCATCTTTGCTCTCTGCATCATAGCCGAATTGGAAACAAAGCGTGTTGTGGGTTTTATAATAACAGACTTATAAATAAAAGGCAAACAATATTTAAAATAAGACAAAATACACTTGGGTGGCCGTCCCTGTTGTGTTAGGCAGGTAAGCGTCAAGAATAGTGTTAAGCTAGACACTGCATTAGTGTCACTTGCAGCAGCGGTCCAACTGGAACAGATTTAACTGGTTTAGTTAAACTCTAAACTCTAAGTGATAGAAATGAAAAGCGTTGCCCTCAAGCGAGTGCATTGCTCAATAACTCTGAACAGAATCTCTTTTAATTCCACATGTGAGCAAAACTGTGTATACTTAGATTCCATGCTACTCAAATACTCAAATTCTACCCTACTGGTATCATGTGACATTATCATGTGGTTCCTAATGTCATCACGTGACCAACTTTGCCTTGTTTGGTGGTGCTACAAGTAGTACTGTGCTATCTTCAGGTTAGTGACAATATCAGATCAAATTCATTACTTTTTCCCACCAATATCCCACCCAGCATCTTCTGCCGATATCAGCCTGATACCAGCTATCAGATCGGTGCTCTCTCTTGTTTGTAGGTAACAGTATGCTGTACAGCATTAGAAACTACATAAGCAGACACTGACAGACATTGTAGCTTCAATGCAAAACTAAAGAAACAAACTTTGGACACTAAACATGTCTTGGCTGACTGACTACATTTGGGGTAATGGGAACTTTGGGCAAACTATCACTTTAGTGTGCTGCATCTGACCTCCAGTATGTTATGGTGATACAGCAGTTCTCTGTCTTATAAAGGGCAAAAGAGAGACACACAGAGAGAGAGAGAGAGAGAGAGAGAGAGAGAGAACGCACAAAAGAAAAAGAGGGACAGAGACAACTCAGCAAGAGATAGAAAAATACAGGAAAGTAGATGAAATCTGATACAAAAACAAAAAACTCCAGAACAGCAAACAATGATACACAGATGCTGATGACAAATTTTACTCTGCTTCATGTGGTATCCTCTCTCTTTCTCCGGCTCTCTGCAGAGCTTGTGAAGTAGCGAGAAGTCCTTGGCACGTAACGGGCCGCTAATGAGAGAAGAAAGCTACTGGGCTGTAATGATTCATGGAGTGAGCTCTCAGATGAAGAGAGAGGATAACATCAGCAGCTGGCCACAGCCCTTTACATCTCAGCACACAAACACAAGCTTCTCGCCACTTCCTGTCCATCAAATCAAGCACTCGCTGTCACCTGACCCTGGCCAGGGACAATGATAACACCCAAGACCCAAAGAGAAACAGCAGCAGGACCTCTTTCACATATGGATTTCTCAATCTAAATTTCTTTGCCTGAAATGTGTTCAGGGGTTAGGAGAATGAATGGAGGGAAGTGGGGGGGGGGGCATGAAATGAAGAAATTAATTAACTGAACATGAACATGTTTATTAACAAAACTGCCCAAAACACAAATGGAAGCTAGCAGAGATAGTTTGGTGGTACAAGATGCTAAAACACAGAGGTGAAGAGCCGAAGGCTCAGCCCAGTTCAATGCAGAGCTGTTTTGGGATAACGTTCCTCCAGAATGTTTTGTGTAAATTAACCTGCGTGCAGATGCTACTTTTTATTTTATGTGAAGTTTTACACATAAACAAAATGTGCAGTGATTCATCAATGCTTATTGGTTTGTCTTATAAACCTAGTAATAAACTTAATAAAAAAGGCCAAAAAAGAAGAGCGAAAACACTACTTGTAACAGAAGATGAAAAAAAATGTGTCAGAAACAAGATGTTTCCCCAGTAATAACATTATTAAAATCCTCTGCACATTTCCTCTCTCTCAGCATCAATCTCTGCTACACGACTCCTATCTAATGCTTGTTTCATGCTCTCTGTCTTTCTCTATCTCTCTCTATATCTTTCTCTCTTTTGAGGAGTGGGTGAAAGTTCAGAGCTGGTTCAAAATATTTCAGGCTGTTGAGCTATTCAGCCCCAGAAGTCCAGGCCAGGCGATGCCCTGCTAAAACAAAGCCTAGCAAGCTGTAGCCTACAAGACAGATGTATGACAATTGAGGTGAATATCATGACCCAATTCAGAAAGACTCGTTTCTAAATGTGAATTCTCACGTTAACTTGAAAGGTCAAAATGGCATTATCTATCAAAAATGCATTACCTATTCACCCTTTCCTCAGAAACTGCAGACCAAGCACAACTTTCAAAGCCATAAAGAATATCCAATACTGCCTATCCTTCAAACTCGTCATCACTCGTCTCTCTGTTGCTCTCTAAAAGCATGTGCTATCAAATAATTGCCAAATCCAAAAGATCACAACGATGATATGAAAACAAAATGAATAACCTATTAACTGCAGTGCTTTACAAAGAAGCATGGTCACGTGCATCATACACCCCAGTCCCACACTGGAATTCCAGCACAAAGGCTACAGTATGGCTACAATATGGCAATTGCCATATGGCTTTAAAACAAATTTAAAAACACACAGTAACGTGCCGTGGTTAAAAATCGGTGTGAATTATTTTGACTAAAACTATTTATTTTTGTTGAATTACATGAATATCTTTGATTAATGAAAATAGCCACAGGAGCTCATATGGGCACAGCAAAGGCCGAGGTAACAATAATGATTACCCAACAATATACTGTGTAGCCCTACTCTGAACATGTGCGAAATGCTTAATAATTCTAGTACCCACTGAAGATGTGAATCTAAATACTGGAACTAGTCCTGCCAAATGACAGCTCGTGGTGCATGGAACTTCAATCTACTGAGAATGGCTGTACACTGTGTTTATTTACTTGCATTTATTTGCTTACCATTTACATTCATAACATAAGCTCCAGTTTCACCAAGACAAATTGCTTGTCCATGCAAATGTACCAGTAAAGTAATTCTGAAAACTAGCAAGTTAGCATAATTTGCAATGCACTTCTCATTAATCATACCTTGAAATGTAATTTTCTGTATTGTGGAACGCAAATATTTCCTTTATAGTCCCTGAAAACTGTATGAGGGAAATGTATAGATCAATGTATACGGAGCACTGAAAAGTGAGGGGCCCAGCATTGGGCCACAGATTTCTATGTGGTCTCCAGCTGCTGTGTGTTTATGCATCGCTATGGTTACTTCCGGCACATGTAGGGTGAAGCCCCCCACACACCTAGAAATAAACACTTCACCCACATAAAGAGGCTTCTAGCACAAACTGAATGAACCCCCATTTATGTCTATGGACTTTTGCCCATGATGGTGTTAACGCTGACAACGGAGAACTATGAATAAACAAGACCTTGCCTTCTGCTGAGTACAATGATCCAATAGTAACTTTACACAGAACAGAGGAAGAAATATCTTCTTTTAAGTCTTTTAAGCAGAAGAGAGAGAG